TTTTTTTTTTTTTTTTTTTTTTTTTTTTTTTCAAGAAACCTTAGTGAATTAATTTAGTCCTGTTTTTCCGTTGTTATCCTGCAGTATTTTTCACTGTCACGATGTCGTCGTTGCATCTTCAATACAAGTCGTGCGATAGTTTTTTAGCTGACTGTGTTTCCAGTAATGCTCAGCGGTGAAGGTAATCCCTAGAAGGTTTTGTACCTTCTAATTGGCAACCGGCATTGCGTAACCAGTTAGTTCAATGCACGATGTCAGAAAGATACGAATTCAAGAGACAAAATCTACCATAATATTTAAAGTTTGAAAACAGTATTTTTAGGCTGACAAGCTCTATGTAACAAATTTTGTAGCTTAAGCAATCACTACAATGAGTGGGTTCTTATTCAGAAATTCTGTAACAATATGGAATCTCTTACAAAAAAAGTTAGTGACAGAATTAGTTATTTATAAAGAAGGCACATCTTTTGCTCAATTGCAGGTGCTCTTTAATCCATTATTTGAGAAACTTGCTAATATTGAACAGTCACTCAATGAATTATATTTTGGCATCCACTCTGCTGTCTGCGGAGCTACTCTTCGCCCTGCTGTGGTGTGCAAAGCTTTTTTTGCCTGCTTCTTTTCGTTACCAGGTACAACTCGAATGTCGATTACAGACTACACAGACTGTTGCGAATTGCCCGGAAACATATAAAAATCTATTATTTATGATCAACTTTTTTTCTCCTACCGATGATATTTGTTGAAGAATAGTAAGTTAACGAGAAGTAATGACTTGAAAATTTTGAGGTTTGCTTTACTACCGGTTACCCACCTGGCTCCGTTATAAGAAACTGCTATTGGCCAATAGATATTTTAACGTCCACATAAGATCGGCTAGATTCCTTTCATACCAGAGCACCCGTACTGTGAACTTGTGAGCAGATGTAGTTATTTATAATATTTCTGCAAAATAAAACAGCAGCTATGAAGTCGCAAAGTTTGAACATTCCCCCTGTATTTGAACTTTTCATAACCCGTTTGAAAACTGGATTTTCACATGTGTGCTGTCTGATACATCCAACGAGTGGTCTACAATACTCCATTCGTTAAAGCAAGATATAATATTCTTAAGGTTATGATTAGTTCCCATTCCATTTTTTTAAATAGATGAGTTGTTTTTCCTTCGAAACATCTTGCTACGCCTACTGCACAAAATAATTCTCTCTGTACACAGTTACCACCTTCTGTTTACTTTTCCAGATAATAAGCACAGTTTCATGAGAATCTCTGCGTGTTTTCCTTCCCTTCTCAATATTTGACTTTTGATGGCTTCTGCTTCAAAGAGTTTGGCTTGCCAGTATTTGCGGCAGAGAGTTAATGTAATACATCTGTAGTGTTTCGATAAGCATCGGTTTTTCAGTTTAGTTTTGCGTCGCATCTTCCCCGTGCTGCCAGGCAAGACTTTGGCCTGTTGCGATGGGACAAAGCCAAATTTGTATGTTGGTATTCAGAGCAATCTTTCATCACTTGGATAATGTATTACTTCTGGCCGTTTGTCCTGCTTGCCCTAGAATAAGAAGTTGAAAAACGAAAATGTGCACGATACACAAGAGGCAGAACTACAAATTAAAAAATCTTCTAAAGATAGGAAATGCAGTCCCTGAAATGCGCGTTGGATCAATGTCAAATTCTACGTCTGACTGCACATTTTCTCCTGTCAACCTCTAATTTCTTTTCCGAATATGCGTAAATAACGATGCCTGCTACAAAATTAAAAAAATTGCTTTGAAAAGTTGCTTTCTTAAAAACCACTGCTATTGCTGCGAGTATCTCTCATTGTCAAAAGCCCGATTTGGGCACAAAATTTCACTAGTATATACTATAAGCTCTCGCTCCGGCTCATTTAAACGACCTCACCTTTGAGTCTTAAAATGTTTTTTTGAAGGGGTTTCTGTAATGAAAATAAGAAGCAAGAAACTCTGCTTAATATTTGTTTAGTTTTTTGGGGAAACCTTAATCTCATTTATTTTTGGAAGGATTAATTTGAATTTCAAAGCTTTGCCAAGAGTTGTATTCTGCAAAAAACTCAAAATCTTAAAGCTGAAGAGAGCAGGTTTTTGTAAGAGATCAGATTTGTTCGCTTTTGCAAAATATTAATTAATTCATACATTTTTAACACATGTCTAGTAGAACGAATTCGACCAGAAAATTATTTCTCGAGTTCACTCTCTTTCATATTCTTGAGCTACGTTTTACCACTTACTACTTTTGAAAATTTCAAAAAAATCTTGAGGTTTACTGGAAAAAGTGTACTCTTTAGTTCAGCACAAGTCGAATACAGAACCTATACGTCTAAAATTATACCGTATTTCCACCAGGAGTTAAAACATACAGCGGCCACTGAAAAATAAGTTTTTAAAAATTAAATTCATAACAAGTAAAAAAAATGTGTAAAGTTTTTTGGAACCGCTTTAGTTGTACTCGAGCCTTCAGAAAACCTATGACAGAAAAAGCGAAGAATAATTAAAGAGGGAAAAAAAAGATTCTGGTGCGGGTAAAACCAAAACATCGCCAATGACCTCATGGTCCTCCTTCCAAAAATGAGTCAAAGAAAGGTTAAAAAATTTTTTGAATACCATAATCTTTTTTCTCAAATCAGTAAAAAATGCCATTTCCGTTGCTGTGACACTAAAGATTCCAACACTCGGAGAGTTAAAAAAGTGATTGATTTTAGTGAAGTCGAAGACATCCTTCTTTATTTTTCCGCCACCCAAAACCACTGATGTGTAATCTCACTTTTCATGTAACGGGTTCAGCAAGAAAGGGCGCTGACATTTCACTCAAAAAAAACTTCTGAGTAGCATTAATTCTTTTTTTCTGAAATACTTTCCCAATATTCCGTTAAAGTGCACGACTAAAACTAAATTCTCCGTCCGACACGTAATAAAGAATTTCTCATTGTCACTAAACTAACTCGATGAACTAATCTGTGGAACAGTGTACCGCTACAAACTTGTGACTAACTGGTGCTCGTTGGAAGAAGACTGAAAACTTATTAAATACAGGAAACTTTCAAAAAATATCATTAGAAGATGAGAAAAAATGCACTGCTTCTAGAAGTCATTACCAACAAAAGGGAAGTAATTATCCAACATCCTAAAATATCGGTAGTACTTAAAGACTTATTTCCACGATTTTTTGTTAAGGCTGTAACACAAATACAGTTAGCGGTATCTTACTGCCTAATAAGTGTTACCAATTCTCTCCATTTTCATTTGAACAAATTCTTTAAAAACCGATTAGCTAAGAAAAAGAATTTCTTGCGGGTAAAATACCTACAAAAGAGTAGATGTAACTACACCATCAACCTTTTTATGTGTCTTGATTATCTGTAATATTGTTACTAAAATAAATGCTCTAAGAGTGTGCCACAGTCGAGCTATTCTATATTTCTCTTTGAATAGCTGGAGCAGTCTGAACGGATCTCACGTTCAGTACTGGTCGAGAAACTGATAATTATTATGTTTTAAATAGCAATTTGAAAAAAGTATTGTTTATCAGGTATAAAACGTTCAAATTCTGACAGTAAGCCTGGGTAGAGTTAGCTGCTCTTTATTGCTTGTTTGGACAGATTTAGAATAAGCAAGAAAAATCAAGCAGAACACCTAAAGAGTATTTTTTACACCTTTATCAGAGATTTTATAAAATGAGCTGTTTTAGTGTAGCTTAGTAACGAGACTGCAACTGTCGATAATGAGTTCTATTCTGAGCATCTGTAAAGCAAAGTAACAACAATTAAGTGACCCCTGTTATAAAACACTTTAGATGCTGATCAGATTTTACGAGTCTGAGCAAAATGATCGGAAGCATAGATAGATCACCAGGTTTAGAAGAGTTGAAAACTATAAAAGTCGTCTGATTCAAAACTGAGGCTCTGTTAGCTTAATCGAAGCTGTGGGAAGTTTTGATAAAATAATATACTAAACATCTTTTGTTGCTCCCATTTGTGCATAACTGCGATTATAAAACTCAGATATCTCAACAAGAATCAACCTAGTCGGTTGCACCCCAAATTAGTCAGCCGCACAACGCCAACTATCCAATGTTGTGCGTCATGTGCACTATATTAGAAGTATAAGTAAGTAAATCCGAGAAGCATTAAGATACAGGTAAATTAAGTCCAAAAGTTAAAATAACAGTTTGAGTTAAAACCAAGTGCACTTAAACACAGTTCTTTTTAATAAGTTTACTTGACTAACTAATAAATGGAAAATTTATTTTAATCAAGAAAACAAGGCAATCAGATGATGCGAACTTGAAATGAGTGATGAGTATACGTGCCACTGTAGTGTAGATGTGGTTAGGTCTAGACTGTTTTAAACTCTGTGTAACTGTTGCTGAGATTTTTATCAGTATCCAGCTGTAATTGAAGAATAATGCTTAGCAGTGTTAGAAAAGAACTTGGTTAACTAGACAGATAAAATAGTTGATCAGATTTTTGAATCAAACAACTTCGCAATGTAAAGTCTGTTCCAGATATAACCAACTAAGCTTTATAAAGACAGCTTTTAAAAGCTTCTTTAATCATAAGTTTTTGGTTTATTATTGTGAAATAAAGAAAGACTCCCAATTACATAAGTCAAAAGAGGGCATAATGCCGCATTCATCATGCAGCGTATCGTTGGAAACTGAAGATCCGTAAACTAAAATCTCTTGGTTATATCTCAATTTCAACAAGTTACATTTTTATGCCAAGAAGAAAATGATCCGTATGCTTCTGCAACTGTACTGTAATACATAACTTAGGATGATGACTACTAAACTTTAATAGGATAAGTCAGAAAGCAGAATTACTGAATTGTCCTTCAGATATTGCTGGTAGATCACCGACGTATGACTGTTGCACTGATTTAGAATATTTTTATCTATGTGTTTTACAAAAAAAAAAAAGTTTATAAAGTTACAAAAAAGAAATATTTATTTGTCAGACTGACAAACAGTTGAAAGATTAGGTGACAGAGATATATTCAACTGTTTTTTCATTTATTGCTGTCATCAAAAAAAAAAAAGTGTCGTTTTTAAATTGCTATTGTTAAATCAAATAGGCAAAAATGAATTTGAAAAAAGTTCCCTTTATTTTCTTTTTTTGTAGAAGAACTGTCTCATGCATAAAATTAATAAAAATAAAAAGTTTCATTGCAACAAATTAAAGAACAAAAGCATTTCTTTTTTTCGCATAATAAGTGTTTAAACTTTGGATAGCAAACACGTACACACAAATATATATTCTACACACTTCACATACACTTCAGAAAAGAAGTGAAAGAAAGACATGCGGATAAACTTTAGTTTGATTGCACCACCATCGCAACCAAAAAATAATAATAT